CTTCCGAGTGGTTTTTGTACCCTATTTTTTTTTCTGTTTCTTCGTGGGGTCGTGTATGCCGGGATGTGAGACCACGGGCTCCCAATCTTTCTTTTTTAGACTAGAGCTAATGTGAGAAACAAGAAACAACAACAACAACTCTGACGTTGTGAAGTACCAAGATTGAACCAAGGGGGTGTACCTCATTCTCTCCGGCCCGTGATGGTGACCCCTAGTCTCAGTTATTACCTCGCATACCGNTCTCTTCCGAGTGGTTTTTGTACCCTATTTTTTTTTCTGTTTCTTCGTGGGGTCGTGTATGCCGGGATGTGAGACCACGGGCTCCCAATCTTTCTTTTTTAGACTAGAGCTAATGTGAGAAACAAGAAACAACAACAACAACTCTGACGTTGTGAAGTACCAAGATTGAACCAAGGGGGTGTACCTCATTCTCTCCGGCCCGTGATGGTGACCCCTAGTCTCAGTTATTACCTCGCATACCGCGCAGAGGGAGTGGAGGACTCAAGAATATCTGGCGTTGATTTCTATTGACTTGCGGACCCCTGGGGGCCATTTTATTTGAGTGTACCTTTTTAGGGTAAGTTAGCCTGCGACCACGGGAACCGACCGCGTCGAGTGTTGTATCAGTACGGACATACGAAGGTACTGGGTAGAGAGAGATCGGAACGGTTTTTAATGTGAAGACAACAACAACAACAACAACAACAACAACAACTCTGATAGGTGGGTAGACTATGTACGTAAATATTCACTGCAGATTCAGCTCATACATGTATCTTGTGACAGCTAGTAACCACCAGCTTTTTGATCACATATCCTGGCCGTATCTCGTTGAAATGACACATGTGTAGTGCAGTGCCAACGCAAAGCGAGACGTGTACACACACGCACCACAGACTCCGCCAAAAACGGGGGCATTGATGCCAAAGTTCCTTGAACATTTTTTCTGCAGTCCTGCTGTTTAGCCCGTTCCAGGAAAAAAAGAGCATCAACAACGCGCACCCCACACAAGACCGTTGGGGGGCCCGCAGTCTGAATCGTCCCAGCAAAACCATTTCCCAGAACGTTCGGGCTCTCGCCCATTTTCTACTATACAACCGAGGTGTCTCAACGTGCCTGAAACCACCCCGTCACACTCACCGCTTTCTCTCTCCTCCCCTTCCGTAAGGCGTGAGGGACAGCGGAGCAAAAGATTTACAGACGAGCCATGGCGAGCTTTAGAGACAGGAGGCCCTCCGAGAGCCTGGTGCCGATGCGCCGCCCCAGGTCGCCCGCCAAGGAGGTGGCCCTGGAGGAGGGCATGGATTTCGGCTCGGAGGCTGCCTCGCGGTTCGAGCCGGTAGGGCGGAACACCTCGGACGTGCCCGTTGCCTACCCAGCCGCAGAAGTGGCGCCCGCCGCGGGGGTAGGGACCGCAGCTCATCGTGTGGATGACGGCTTCAGGTGCGCGTGCGGTCGTGTACACGTCATGAGAGGGATGATGATGATGTGGCAAGCAGCTTGTTGTTGTCGATTCGGTAGCGGGAGGAGAATAGCAGCAGCTCGGGAAAAATCTGCCCGACGCAGATGGCTGCTGCTGCCTGCCCCCGCTGGTGTCCCTGCTGTGTCGGGATACGTACACATGAAGGACGCGGCGGCGCTCGTCCGTCGAGTGCGTTGTCTCCAGTCGACGGTGGCACTGCAGCAGTATTGAGCTCTGTCGCTGCTAATTAAGTCTAGAGTGTATCCAATGTGTGTGCGGGCCGGTCGGCAGAGAAGATGGTGCCGAGCAGCGAGGCTAGGTGTTGCGAAGCCTCTGCTGCTTCGAACACTGGACAAACTCTCTCCGGTGCCCAGGCAAAAAGAGCAAAAGCACTAGTAACAGTAGGTGCACCAAGAGACTGTGCTTCGAGAACGCCGCGCAGCAACGTCATGTATACTCGAACGGGCTTATTGTCATCATCGGCTACTAATCGATTTGACGTGTAATTTCCCTTTTTCTAATAAGTTCCCAGCGTCGAGAATCTGTCCTCTACATTCGCCCGTCCTGAATGCGGTTGCTCCGTCGCCGTCCTCGCAAAAAAATGCTGCCCACGGTATATCTTGGAAATATAGGTAGCCTCCGCTGACGCTCTGGATTCATTGCCACCTGCTCCTAGATTATTTCTGTAGATAGAGATGGATCCGGTGTCTCATACTAAGGTACTGCTGTAGGTAGAGACGGATTCGATGTGTCACTGAAAAAGTGTGCTTTGGGTTACACATGATAAGGTCCGTCCTTGCTTGTGTAGACTACACGACGACAGAGTGCGGTGCTACGCACCATCGGGCAGCTGGACCCAAGCCTGTGCACCGCATAACACTCCGCTGACCATGCTTCAAGTCTTATGTCATCTCCATTCTGATGCCATTACACACTGGCACAGAGCGTCACAGCACCCCCCGGTTATGCAGTTTTTTTTTTGCTCCCATCATTGGACTCTGTCGTCTGCCTCTCTGGCCCCTATCCTTCACTTCTACCAGCTAGACGACCCAACCGGGGCCACAAAAGAGGGGGGAGTTGGACCCCCTCCTGCAGTTCCTGCCTAAGATATTTTTATCGCGAGATGTATACTATACACATGTTTTATCTTCGATCCACTTTTTTTATCACCTGCTGAGCTCGGCAACGGCGGCGACAAAAAAGAGCCATCAACCCGTGGCGGAAGCACCGAAATTGGCAATCAGCCTAGAGAACGTCGGCTTTGCTAGTGGTGGAATAATGTCCGCATTTCGTCGCTATCTATCCTGCTAGTCGGTGCTGCGTGCGGTTGGGGAATAATCTTCATTTTGAAAACTGTTGCGCGTCTCGATTCGCAGGACCCCTCTTTTCTAGGTCATACGTTCTACGAGGTCAGGCGTGTCATGGTGTGTGTACAGAGTTGGTGTTCACGTCTTCGAATTACACATTGCTTGGTTGACTGCTATTTGTCCTCTTCCATGCATAGAAAAAGTAGTCTAGCCTCTCGCGCCGTGAGCCTCAATTAAACGCAATGATGAGGTTACCAAGTCAACACCCACGACACATGGACCTCGTTTTGCGTCGAGCAACCGTACAGCTGTGGCTTGTCCTGCTGTACAACACGCTTGCTTTGATGACAACCTGTGCAGATGCCGCTTGTGTATGTGTGCATAAAAATGGGTGTTGCCTGTGCGATATTTTGTCTGGCTCTCTTCTTTGCTGCGGACACCCCGTGAACACGCTGCTTCACATTGCAAGTACTCATGTGGATGACCCCGCCTGCTGTCCCCGACCGCCTCGAAAATATACCAAATAGTGTGTGCATAGCATATGAAGACACATAAGAAGGCAGGAGGTATCGGAAATAATGGGACACGAATGCATTATTTGCTTAAGCTCACACAGTTAATTTATGGTATGCGTCATGCACAACGCACACACAGGTATTGCCTGTCGGTGTTGAGAACACAGCAATCGGCCCCGGCATAGCGCCCGCAGCACGACATGGCGCACGCAGCACCGAGTAGGATATGAAAAGGCGGGGAGATCCCTGTTATAGTCGCCCTGCTTGCAATTCCACGCCTCCGCCACAGTTCTTGTGTGTGTGATACCGCCTTCGAGATAGGTTGGTTCCTGCTGCATCACTGTTGCTGCCCCTACACATGTGTGTAATCTTGCTGGTTTTGTGTATTCCATGGGTTGTGATATCCACAGGATAGGCAGGGTAAGGAAAACAGTTTTGCGCCGCATGGCTAGGTAGGAAGGAACCACGACAAGACCATCGGTGATCGGTCCTGTGGGAACAAAGCTCCTTCCTCTCGAGGAAACGTGGCCTAACCGCTAAGGCATGCAAAGCTTAAGTCGCCCCCCCCCCCCCCCCCCCCCCCCCCCCCCCCCCCCCCCCCCCCCCCCCCCCCCCCCCCCCCCCCCCCCCCCCCCCCCCCCCCCCCCCCCCCCCCCCNNTAAAACAAGCCAATTCACTTCGTGAACTCGGCAACCAGGTCACCGTTTTTGTTTTTTTCACCTCTTTTTTTTTTGGCGGTAACCATAGTGGTGGTCGAGTAGATCATGTTGTGCGGGGTGGGCAATGCTCAATCCGCGCAAGGGGGATGATCGCACCACGTTGTGTTAATATGGCCACGCATCCTCGAGGCAGTTACACAGTGCTTACAACTGTCTCTGGAAGTGAAAGCACCAGAATATAAGTTAAGTCATACGCAGTACGCAAGGAAGTAACCACATGCCGAACACCCTTAGCAGGATGCAGCGCACCCTTCATGCAACTCGCCGAATATCTCACGGCGTTTCGCGCTTGGCGATGTGAGAGCCTGGTCCGGTGAGAACCCGGCGTGCTCCGTCCCGGCTTTGTAGGGATGCGAGGTCAATGGTCTAACGACTACGGCATGCACGACTATGAGTACACCCCCTCGCCGCCGGCCCCTTGCCATTTCAGCGGGGACGGCTCTGACGAGGAGCCGGAAATGTCCGAGTTTGCGGAGTCCCAGTTCATGAACTCGGAGTTCAACGATTCTCACGTGGGGACCGAGTACTCCGCTTACGGCAACTCGGAGTTGTCGGGGCCGGAGGGAGACGCCGGGGGGGGCGGCAGCCGCTTTGTGGGCACGAGGGAGTGGGCTCGGCAGCAGCGGTCGCAGAACTCGTCTCAGTTCACGGCGGACCGGGACGGTGGCGCGTCGGCGGGCCCCTGGAGCGGCCCCGGGCGACAATCTTCCGGGTGGAACATGGACGGCGGTGGGCGGCAGCACAGCCGGAGAGGCAAGTACGCCGGGGAGGACGGCCGGATGCACGACCTGCCCCCCATGCCCGACAACAAGCAGATGCCCTCGAACCACTCGGTGCTCTCCCACGACCTGAGCGGGTTCTCGGACTTCGATCCCACCCCGAAGAGCACCCACCATAAGAGGGACGAAAGCGTCAGCAGCGGGGGCAGCGGGGGCGCCGCCGGCGATATCACCGCGCCGCACCCGCCCCCCTCGGACCGGATCAACTGGAACCGGGGGCTGACGGGGGCGGCGGCCGCGGCGGCAGACGCCGACGCGCGCAACCTGGCGAGGAAGCAGCAGCAGGAGCGGGAGGCGGCAGCAGCGGATTTGGCGCAGAAGAGAGCCGCGAAGAAGGCGGCGTTATTGGCGGACGCGGGCGGGGCGGCAGCGGCAGCTGTGACTGTAGCCGGCGGCTCGGACTCGAGTGGTTCGGGCAGGAAGAAGCCGCGGCCGCCGGCGGCGCACAACGGGCCACCAGACCCAAGAAAGGGGGAGGCGGACGGGGCGGCGATGCGGGATATGGGGGACATGAAGGAGGAGGGGAGCGGGAGCGGGATGTCGGCCTTCAGAGCCAGCACGTTGGAGGTGAGACAACGGGAGAGGGAGAGAGAGAAGAGCTGTGCAAGCGTCACTGAAGTGAGGCATGGAAGAGATGAGTTTGCCTGCCTGCTCTTTCTTTTCGTTGGGGGTGTTGATGATCTAGCGGGCATAGCATCCCGCCCCCTTGTGCTGCTGCTGCTGCTGCTGCTGCTGCTGCTGCTGCCGACGCTCTTGAGGTCTCTGCCAGGCGTTGAGATTAGTGTCGGTGTTGTTTGCTGCTATGCCGTGAAGGCTGCGGATGGTAGTCTTCGGGTGCAAGCAGGCTTGATTTGGCGCTGGGTTGTGTTCCTACTAACCGTGCTTTTGGTCTTGCCGGCCTTACGGCTGCGCGTCTCAGCGTCGAGGACATCTCGTCTCGAGGGCGGGGGCTTCCTCCCTCCCGTGCTGTTTTTAATTCACGGGAAGGTGCGCCTACAAGCCGCCGGACATGGGGGGCGCAACGATCGTCCCTCTCGTGTTCGTCGAGCCGACAACAAGCCTGTTGGTCTTGTTTCAGACAACCTTGAGCCCCCGCCACCCACATCCCTAGTTCGACATAGTTTGTCTTGGTTGTCGACCAAACCCTCCGGATGTACACAGTGCGCCAACGCCTCGAAGACCCCCCCCCGGCAACCAGGTTACCGTTTTTTTTTTTTACCTCCGTTTTTTTTTTGGCGGTAACCATAATGGTGGTCGAGTAGATCATGTTGTGCGGGGTGGAGAAGCCTCACTCCGCGCAAGGGGGATGATCGCACCACGTGGTGTTAAAATGGTCAAGCACCCTCGAGGCAGTTACACAGTGCTTACAACTGTCTCTGGAAGTGTAAGCACCAGAAAATAAATTAATTCATACGCAGCTGTCATCCGTACGCAAGGAAGTAAGCACAAGATGCCGAACACCCTTGGCAGGATGCAGCGCACCCTTCATGCGACTCGCCGAATATCTCACGGCGCTTCGCGCTTGGTGATGTGAGAGCCTGGTCCGGTGAGAA